AGGTGAAGTTGAACAACTAGAAGATAAAGATCCAGCTTCAGGAGTTAAACTAGTAATAGAAGGAGAATGAATGTTGGACTAACATTCATCCGGTGACCAGAAACACAACCCCCCAAATCAATGCTAATGTTGCCGCGTGTGGATTTAGGCAATGTTTGCTAACCATATCAATGTCATAATGCCTGTTGGTTTGTCTTATGTTGGATTCTTACTACCCTCAAATGGCCAAAACAGCAGATATTTTTGAATTGTCATGACATTGATGACGACTCCAGTAACATGTACTTCCGGACCCCGGCATATTTCACTGACCATACTATAAACCTTTTCTGGTTTTCATTAAAAAAAACACAAACTTTGCCATGACTAGCAGCTTAAATTAAGCTGGTTGTGCATAGCAGCGCTGCTGCTGAGCCATCATCTCTGACCTTTTCTTGTTTTATGTGCAAAAAGAATAAATTAGAGCCTATTTGGCCAGGCGACTAATAAGGCAAATAACATTTGTTTTTTTTAAGTCATTATTACACTTTTTCCTAACCTTAACAACGTTTTTTCCGAGCCTCACGCATGGGGCGCCTGGTGGTTAATACCAGCCAGTTACCCTTGTTGCATGTTATACCCCCTTATGTACACTGTCACTATCTAATAAAGGAGAAATGGCAAGAATAACAATCTAGAGTGTAAAAATTATTTACTTTACTTTAGTTTTCCTTCTTTCTTTCTACATTGTTTCTTTACATCTTAATTTTTTTACCCTCCGCTTACTACCATTCTTACACTTCCCTGTCCAGATGGTGTGAGTGTGTTAGTGTGTGTGTGTGTGTGTGTGTGTGTGTGTGTGTATGAGAGAGAGAGAGAGAGAGAGAGAGAGAGAGAGAGAGAGAGAGAGAGCTTCTCTTTGTGTGTTGGGTCAGCTCTCTGAGTGTGGTACTCACAGCATAGCAAAGGTCAACAGCGCTGTTATCACTCGAACATGATCGGGCCTCGGAGAGAGGGAGTGAGATAGAGGAGAGAGGGGGAGAGTGCTCCCCTCCCCCACAGTCATTTAGACTCTTATAATTGCCCGGTTTAATTGGGGGCCTCTTAACGACCAGTGACTGGACCAGCCAATCAATTCACACAAGGTGTACGTGTGTGTGTGCCCGAGTGTGTGTAGCTGCGGGGCCTTTTTGTAGCAGAGTTGATTAGGCCAGATGGGGTCAAGTAAAGGGGGAAGAGGAACGCACACATACTGCATTAAAATGTAGAATATGTTCTGTTGGCAATCAATGAGAGAATGCGCACTCGCAGGAAATAGATGGACAGAGTCGCACATTAGATGGTGAAATGAAAAATAACGAGCGATATCATCAGATCACCAGGGAGATAAGCCAATGAAAGACAGTAATTAGTTGGTGTGTGAATACACTGAGAGGGGGGGGATTGATATTGTTAAATTGATGGGTCGGATGAGATTGTGGTGATGATTTACGTGGTGTTTCAAGGCACAGCCATTTGTCTCAGTGGTGCAGCATTAGAGAGGAGATGCTTTCCTATTGACCTTTGCAGAAACAGGGTTACAGCGACCACAGAGCAGAGGTTGTAAAGAGGTACATATACTCTAAGCACTGCACATAAAGGAACAGTAGTAGCCTACAAGTGACCGCAGACGGCATTAACAGTTGGACTACGCTGCAAAAGGCAGCAATGTAAGAAGAAACCCACAAGCTGATTTGAGCAATGCAATGTATTATTAGGAAGGTTTTATTAGGTAGGAAACCCATTCAACATATTGCATATTTTAGAATACACAGTGCATTGTAGGTATTCACCAATCCAACTTTTTCTTTTCCGATACTGAATTTATTGATCCGAAACCTGTGCTCTCTCAATTCCCAATTTAAATCTGCATAGCACACTGTGTGGAACAGATTTTAACCATTTCAGGTAACGTTACGTGAGGCCAGGAAATTCTGTGGCACTAAAAACCGAGTCAGCCGTGACACAAGAAACACTGGATTTTTTATAATGACATTGACAATGAAACTGTAAATGAATGTGGACTGGTCATGTCTTTGCCAGTATCCGATTTGCTTGATGAGGAGAGTATCAGATCTGTGTAGTTGTGTATCCATTTTTTGCTTCTTTATAATTCTATTCCAGTACATTTCAGAAATAACATTCCACTGACTGTAAGTTTAACTTGTAATACCACCTGAACCCGCTAAAACAATAAAATACTTTAACTTGTAAAACTAAATGTTGTATTTCAGATTAAATACTTTGACATTTGTGCTTAAGTATATTTTACTGTTACTCAAGCTAGATTTTTAAATGCAGGAATGTTTTTTCATAGTGCAGCATTTCTAAAAGATCTCAACACTTCTTCCACCGCAGCTTTAGTCTTTTCATATTTCAGGCAGATGAGCAGAGGAGTGTGTGCTCCTCCCAACCACCTCCTTTATACAGAAATGTACAGCCGAGGGTCAGCTGAGGTGCTCGTGTTAACGCTATGCTAGTGTTTTGAGAAGGACTAGACAGTGGGGGGTCAGTAGGGGTCACCGTGGCTGTCCTACACTGTGATAGGCTGTCACCCAGGGGTGAGGGGTCAAGATAATTAGGCATGCAGAATCCCAGCGCCGGTGTTCTAACGAAGCCTGAGCTCGTTAACGCAGAGTTTTACACTCAGACCTGCCACTGGGCTGTGCTGCACCGTCACACTCGCACATACACTCACATGTGGAGTACATGTTTGCACTCACACACACACACACACACAAGCACACACCTCTGCTTTGTTCTGAGCATCCGGTACAAAGGCTGTCATCTCTTGAACGGAGGAGCAGCAAGCTCTGCCACCAGGGAATGGTGGTGATACAGACTTGTGAAAAGTTCAAATTATGAAAAGTATGGAGTTTAACTGTGTTAAGATAAATACAGACAGTGGGCCCAATGTGATGAAACCCAATATAATAGATTATCTTTTCTTTTTTTTTTTACTTTCTTTAACTGACAGAGAGATGCTGATTTTTCTTGATGATCCTCTAAAAGTGGCTCGTTATCCATGCGGTTTCTATGGTTCTATGGTTTATACCAGGCGGTAAACCACTGTTCTGAAAATTGAAGCCAATTTGGAAGTGCCATAAATTTGCATTCTTTCTAACAGCCAACAGGGGGCGACTCCTCTGGTTGCAAAAAGAAGTCAGAATGTACAGAGGTCTATGAGAAAATGACTGATTTATTCCTTCAGTAAACATTGTAAACATGAGTTTATGGTCTTAATCTCTAGTTCCAAGTCTTCTTCAATACAGCATGAAAAGTAAATTATGGTCCCATTTAGAGTCAAATAGACAATAAAGCGGGGTATGCTTAAGGGCGTGGCTACCTTGTGATTGACAGGTTGGTTGTACTTGGCTCCACCGTCTGATGTCACTTCTGGTTCTGATAAACAAGATGGGGACAGCCAAAATGCCGAACTCAAGGCTTAATCAATTTGTAGTCCAGAAACCAATGGGTGACGTCACGGTGACTACGTCCACCTCTTAGAAACTATACAGTGTGTTTATACACAAAGTCTAATGCAGAGGAAACATTGCCCCGTGTGTGAAGTTGTGTCGCTTTTATCGAGATGTTACACACAGACAGATGTAACAAACACAAACGTGTGTGTGTGTCTCTGTTGTTGTGTGAGTGTGCCTTGTTGCTTCTGCCAGACTGGCCAGCTGGCTCACACCAAAACACAACCTGGATGTGTTTGTTTGCTGTTGACAGCCATCTGCGTGTTTGATTTATTCTGTAATATAGATTCATGACATATGGTCCCGTTTCAAACACCCAATGTCAACATGGTTCCCCCTTTCTTAATGATTTGCACGCATGCAAACTTGTCACCTTTCGGAAAATTGGCTGTTTTGAATCCAAAATAGATTGTGATTTAGTAAAGATCGTTATTTAGTGTGCAGTCGGTATAAGAGACAGTGAACACACATGTTATTATGAAAGTGACAAGAATATTATTTTCATTTACTGATGGAGATTCTGGTTGCCTTTACGGTTGATAAAGATTTTAAGGGTTCCGGGTTTGCAACCCCCTGATGGGTTTTCATGCCATTTGACGTCCGGGTTAGAAAACAACTCTACAAAAGTGTTTTCGAGGCTGGTGACCAGGCATGAGCTTTTGGTTGCCAAAACAGAAAATATGGTTGCCGTTTTTTTACCTTATTCTTTGAGCAATTAATACAATGCAGTTAAATGTTGATCAGGAAAATGTGACAAGTATATATTCCTTCTTGTTTGTGTGCAGCGTTGTCTGGTTCCAGTTCTGACAGTGACAGCAATATTTAAATATTACAAAGGCAACACATATTTAAAATGTATTTATTTGCTGGTGCACTATACTTTTTATATGTTAAAAAGTGGCCAAAGGCCAACAAGTAGTTGCCAATTTCTCAAACTCTTACTGTCGAGCCCTGAAAGATTTTCAAATCTCTTTTCACATGTTGACAGTTGTTTTCAAATTGTTTATGAATCTCAATGAGCAAGTTTTTCAAGCCATAATCCAAATGCAGTTGAAGTACGCCTTCACATGTTGCTAGAAATCATTAAGGACGAAGGTCAAGTTGAACAAAGACCTAAGAAAAGACAAAGGCAGGATGGTTTTTGGAAGTACAGTATGTTAAAGTTTGGTTTCTCAAAACTGGAGGCCAAACTTAAGATTTAAGAGCTTAAACTCTCTCAAAGTCACAGATTTTTACCAGTTTCACAGAAGTTTGCTACTTTATTTGCCTTTAAGTGGCAATTCAAAGCAATATCTTATGGTGTGGATTTAAGTACAAAACACATGCTCCACACATCCACGAGGAAATTCATTTTGACCTAACACCAGTATGAAATGTGAATTTCTGTATTTGGGATTCTGTCTGTGCTGTATGTTGAAAACTGACTTTAAATTGATATATCCTGAAGGAAAGCAGCTGTTTAGTGTTAACCTCAAATATTGCCTGTCCTCTCTGTCTGTACAGATTCTTCCTCAAGTTTTTCCTCAAGTGCAACCAGAACTGTCTAAAAAACGCAGGAAACCCACGAGACATGAGGAGGTTCCAGGTAAAAAAACTTATGTACTCTCATCATTTAACTCTATCTTTTTATGTGTGTCCTCTGCCTCTGTCTCGCTCTAATTTCCCTGTGTTTTCCATGGACTTAACACATAATAACTTACATAACGTTATGGTTATTATAACACATAAACACAGGAATGTGTGTGTGTGTGTGTGTTTTTGTGTAAGTAAATAAGCTATCAGCGCCTTTACAGGAAACATGAGATCCTGACCCAGAACATAAATATACACACAATGCAGTAGGACGGAGACTGAGTGTTAGATGGAAGGAAGAAAAGAGCAACTAGAAAGAAAGAAAGTAAGGAAAAAAGAAAGACAGGATGTTGTGGGGTTGTGAATAAGATTTAAGGCTGCGTGGTCTTTATTATTTCCTTATCTTCACGGCCAACCACACAATCAGGAAGACACCACTTGAGTCTGAGTGGAGATACTGGACGCCCAGAAGATACCGATAGATTTATTACCATGGCACGTGTGTGTGTGTATATATGTGTGTGTAGGTGTGTGCGTGTGTGCGTGATATGTACTGTATATGTGTGTTTGTTGCGTCTTGCTGTGTGTGTGTGTGTGTGTGAAATAGCACAGAGAGAGAGTGGTTTGGTAGCGAGTGTGTGACAGTATCTGTGCCTCTAATTGTGCTGCTCTATTGTAGTGGAACCAGAGAAGACAGCTCTGTTTCCCTGGGAGATAATTAAGGGCTGGACCCATCAGGAGCTATTGAACAGAAGAGGATAGACACCACACACCCATACACACACACACACACACACACACACACACAGACTTACTTAGTGTGTGTTGAATGTGATGGTAATAGCAGTGATAACAGGTTACATTTAAGGAGCTTTTCACAGTTTTCACGCTTTTAACTCCTGCTTGCAATGATCTCTAGACTCCACACAATTCCTCATTCTTTCCTTTCTTCTTTCCATTTGCCCTCTCTCTGCTCCTCTCCCTCTTTGTCCACGCTCTCCACTTTTCCTCCCCCCCTCCTCCTCCCTTTTCACCTTTATCTCACCGCTCCTTCCGTCTACCCCCCTCCCCTCCATCCTGTCCCGTCTCTTCCTTCTCTCCAGGTGGTGGTATCGACTACGGTGAGTGTGGAGGGACATGTCCTGTCAGTCTCCGACAACATGTTTGTCCACAATAATTCCAAACATGGCCGACGGGCCCGCAGACTCGACCCCGTGGAAGGAACACAATCTTACCTAGAACACGGTAAAATTGAGTGTGTGTGTGTGTGTGTGTGTGTGTGTGTGTGTGTCTGTGTCTGTGCATGAATGTGTGTAAGCATAAGCAGCATGGCCACCAGATGGTTGATGGTTTAATCCTATCAGGTGATTCCTGCCCCTCCATCTGGCTAATCCAACCCACTACACACACACACACACACACACACACACACATGCACACACAAAATGCTTGGTGTGATGCTCTGTCTGTGTGTGTTGCCAGGTCTAATATCATTATGATTCTTTTTCATAAACAAACCCAGAGTAAAGGACATTGTTGTAATTCAGATGAATGCTGATAATCACACACACACGCACACACACACACACACACACACACAGTTTGAGGAGAGTTGTTTTTTAGCAGACAGGCTTTTATTGTTGCGATATGGGATTGGATATGAGCTTACACATACTCACACAATACTGAAGTGACATAAAGCTGACTGTATCCATTCAGTTTGAGGTATTACGATGCATACTGAGCCTTCTGTGTGTGTTTTTATCAATGTCATATCATGAGTTTTAAAAACGAATTGCCATAATCTCATGCCAGTCGGGCTTTTAATTACAAACAGTAATTAAACAGCACAGGACCCTCAAAGGAATGGTTGACGATCACATCGCATTTAAAGTAATTAAAAGTATGAGAATGAATGCCTATACCTCAACAATTTTGAAAGAAGTTACTTTTAACTGCAGTATGTTAAGTAAATCTTTTTCCTTTAGCAGCACATCGACGTCTCATAAGGCCTGCAGGAAACATGTGTTCTTTTAACCATGTTTGACATTTGGCAACAGTGTATGTCAGAGTAGACACTAAGGTTTACAAGCTTTTAACTGCCTCCCATGGTCCATAAGAATAGAGCTTCAGTGTTTTCATTTTAAAGTTAGTTAAATTCAGTTGTGTCTAAAAAGTCCTCAAAAGCTGAATAAATGGTGGTTTGAAAATAAAAAGAAAAGAAGCCCGAAACTCAATCTAAAGCCTCAGCACTTATTCGCTTTGTATATTCTCTTGATTCCACTCAGTAGAAACATTTACAAGGACAAACTTTACTACTGAAAAAAAACAATTGAGAAGGACTCTACAGTGTGTTCAGAGAGTAGGTGTGGTGTGCTGGACCACAGCCAAAAGCCAAGGGTGTAACATGAAGAAATATGAGGCGCAGATGCAAAAGGGATGAAAAGGCTTCAAGCCAGATTCCCCTCCCTGTTTAGACACTGATACGTCTTCAAATGAAACAAATGCTGTCTCTACAACCATGGCATGTCAAGAGTGGAAGTTGATTTCAGAGCAATGTTTAAATATTGGTTTTACTCTTATGTTCCCTCTGTCTCGGCTACTCTAATTCTCCTCTCATCCCACCAGGAGCAGCTCCTTGCATTAAAGCCATCAGTCCCAGCGAGGGGTGGACTACGGGGGGCGCTACAGTCATCATCATCGGGGACAACTTCTTCGATGGTCTCCAAGTCATCTTCGGTACCATGCTGGTTTGGAGCGAGGTCAGTTTTCCAGTGATCACCATCCTGTCTCGATGTTGTTTCAACCCCTCAACTGTCGGACGCTGGAAGTAATTCAATATGAAAACATGCTTTTCCTCACGGTCGGGCTCTTAACTGTGTGTGATCTTGTGAATGTTTGTGTGTTAATGTTTGTCTAAATGAGGTTTTGCCTCAATGAGTCCCCACCAACAAGCAACCGCCGCCCATCTCTACCTTCCACCACTCCCTCGCTCTCTTTCTCTGTGGAATACTGATCAAATCAGCACAATTTGATAGCCATTGGCTTAATGCTCACAAAAACACTCACACAAACACACACACACACACATACAGAGCTCACTGTCGTACTTTTTGCCAGCACAACTCCTCTACAGAATGTTTATTTGTCTTCTGACTCCACTCACCGTGAGCGCCAAGCAACCATGGCTCACTTCCAACAACAACACCCAGTGTGTGTGCGTACATGCTGGCATACATGGATGTGTGTGTGTGTGTGTGTGTGTGTGTGTGTTAAGAGCTGTGGGGTTTGTTTACAGTGTTGAGAGCCACACTTACACACACTAACATGTGTACAGAGTCTCAGTTCAGTTCAAACTGACTCAGTTCTCTTGGCGTTCCTCAGACTGGCTTCAGATGGATTTTGGCCAACCAAATGTTTCATTTTTCACTCAACCTGATTCCGAAGCGAGAAAACTGTTTGTTAAAACTTGTAAACGCGTAAAGCGACTGCATGTTTACCAAGTTGTGTTTGTTTGCAGCTCTTCCTCCTACCTGCAGATTTTTCAAACCCGGGCCAAATAATAAAAACTATTTTTGAAAACTGTCCATAAAAATGTGATCCTAAAAAGTTAGTGTTTGTTACATTCAGCTCAATACAATGATTCATTTTCACCTGGTGTCAACATAGATCCTGGGAAATAAGATTATATCTACATTTTTGTAGCATGCCCAATATTTGTTACAATACAAGTGAGATTAAAAGACACTGTTGTGGGTCAAAAGTCCAGTAACATTCAAATCCACAACATATCATAATGCATAACATCATATGTCTATGATTTCAATTAATACATGTCGATATACAAGATTTTAATTGCATTCTACATCGGTATCTCATTCTCCCCCCTTAAATTTAAGCAATAAAATCCAGCTACACCAATTGAAGATGTCTGTTAGCGAAGAAACTCTAAAAGTAATGTCGGTGATTGTTGTGATTTTGTAACAACTCACCAAACACCAGTTGCACTGTTCTGACGCAGAGAGCTGCATTAGTGTTTTTTTGTGTACTAACTCTTGGTCTTCCTTCTCTAGTTGATCACGCCGCATGCCATCCGGGTGCAGACGCCTCCCAGACACATCCCCGGGGTCGTTGAGGTCACTCTGTCTTACAAGTCCAAACAGTTCTGCAAAGGCACACCTGGAAGGTTCATATACACAGGTAGGTCAACCGCGCACACACATGCACATAAATGCACATACAAAAACACATGCACATGCTCTTGATTTAAGTATTTAATTTAATTTTTTATATATAAGAAATATTGCCGGTGGGTGTTTGTGTCTGCATATGTGAATAGCATCTATGAGTTGCAGTTCACTCTCCGGCCAGACAGTATTGAACTAATGACTGCAGATTAGTCAACATTAACGAGCCACACTCGTTAGAATGCTGCCATAATCAGAGCCTCGTTAAAACCAGCTACAATTAAACAGTCTGCTCTTTATAGCTCTCCATACTGAAACTATTAGTGAAATCATCCAGAACACCCAGTTTACTAACACACACATACACACACAAACACACACACATACACGCATACACACACACACAAACACACACAATCTTGGAAAAAGAGTGTGTAATTTCTGACCGGATTGTTGACTGTGAATGAGTGTTTTCCTGCAGAACTCAGTCGAGGAGGAAAAGCAGAGAAATGCAGAAGAAAGCATGCGTGTGTGTGTGTGTGTGTGTGTGTGTGTGTGTGTGTGTGTGTGTGTGTGTGTGTGTGAGTGTGTGTGTGCTCATTTGGTTTGCACATGCATGTGGCAATGGATGGAGGTGATGTGATGTCTGGTATTGATCCGCTCAACATGGCTCCATCACGCAGTAACAATGACGTCATTCCCAGAGAGAAAAGACAAACAGCTGCTGTATAAATTCTTTGGTGACATTTAATGACCAAACGATAAAGATGAGGATTTAAACCTTATCAATAGAGATGAAAAAACTCACCATGAATAAATTGTCCCTTTTTATGTTGGCGTCAAGTTCATGAAAGCTATCTCCTGAAAAAAAGCTATAGAAAGTGATGAGTTTTGTGTTTCTAGACAGCTTTAAAATTGACTCAATGTGCTTCAAGTAGCATGTAAAGAATGATATTTTAAAAAAAGACATTAAAATGCAACAACAGTAAAGAAAAAGGAAAACAGGGAAGAAGATGCTGAGCAGTCTGGCTGATTAGACAAAGAAAATAGCTCCACCTACAGGAACTCATTCAATAAAGTCAAATGTGAGGAAACTTCACAATACTCTGTTTCTGGAAAGTGCTGAGTAACAAATGTTAACATGAGCAATGAGTGAAATCAAACAGACGCAGAATATTGTTTTTGTCTTAAATGTCTTGCTGAAGTTCGAAAGTCAACTGGTTTTTCTTTGGGCAGTGTGAGTTGTGCTACGTGTCGCTAAAATGTGCCCGGTCTGTGCCCGTGTGCCTCCTTCGATGGTCTTCAGTCAAAACATCTTTGGTCTGACCCTGAGGCTAGCCGGCTGGTAATTGGTCCGTCTGGTGTCTAACTGCATCCCCTATTGGGCGGAGATGACCCCCCGTGACCTCCCCATTGGCTGATCGCTTCAACATGTGACCCAGGAAACGCGATCCGTTACTGCGGTCGCCTGACCCCGCCTCAAGGTCGACTTCTTTCTGGAAGTCGCCTGTGAAAGGTCACGGGGGTGGAAGCCGATTGGCTGTTGAGGTTTTGCAGCGCTTCTTAGCTGTGGTTGCCTCTGGGTGTAAGGACCGAGCAATTAAACACACTCACTAGCGCATACACGCTAGTATGCAACAACACACAACTTAAACACACACACACACAGAAAGCCACCCTTGCATAGGGTCATGTCGTACCACACACACTTTCAAACAGGGGCAGGAGTTGAAAGTAATTGTAAATCAGAGCGATATGAGGGAAAGATGGTGAGTAGTCTGGTAAACAGATGGTCTACTGCATACACACACACACATACACACATAGTGCCGTATGGCTGCTTCATCGGCCTGGTGGGAAAAATTAGCATTCTCAACATCACACACTCCTATAAAAATACAATAGTACAAACTGACAATCAATAAATGCTCTCACACACACAGACGTTACACATGCACACAACGTGCATACATGCACACACTCACATTTGTAGAGCTGATTTATTGTCAATGCAGCTGCATGAGAAAATTAATTTCCCAGTCGTGGAGAAACTTTTAGTGAGCGATAAAAAAGCGTCACAATTTTAGACTTTTTTCTCTTTTAAGAACAATTTAAAGTTCATTTTGCAGACACAGAAAAAGAGAAATAAAAAAGATTGAAAAATAGGGGGAGAGCGAGACAGTTAAAAGACAGAGAGACATAAAAAAAGAGAGACAGAATGGTGGACTGTTAAAACCAGATTGTAAATTATTGATCCGCTCATAAGTGGATCACACATGTACCGTTACACACATGTACATACACACATATACAAGCACACAGAAAGTCCCTGAGAGAAGTGGAGCCAGAGAGAAAGAGATCTCATCTCATAAGAGGAAGAATGAAGCAATAATTCAGTGGTATTGAACTGCTGGCTGGCCAGAGAATCGATCTCAGCACACCTCCTCTCCTCCACCTCTTCTTCTCCTTTTACATCAGCCCTGTCTGTGCTTTCATCCACCCAGCTTCGCCCTTGTTTTTTCTCCCTTACCCACCTTTGCTCTCTTTTGTTTAAACACTACCAAAAGATAACTAGAACGACGTCACCATGGTACTGTATAATTTAAGCACATACGAAATGGTAGACATGCAGCATGCTTTTTCTCTTTGCCACTTCCCCCCTACTTTTATTCTGATGGCCTCCTTCTGTTCACATTTTATTGTGAAACAGGAGTGGAGGGTCTGTCCTCATGAAACTTCTATGAGTATTGATCTGTGGGCAGCTCTGGACTCTGGGAGGAAGAGCCAGGCTGGAGGGAGAGTGATGGAGGACTGGATGGATGAATGGATGGATGGATGAATGGATGAGTGGTAGAAGGTGTAGTTAAGAAAGAGGGGGGAGGAGACGGAGCAGGAGATAGGGAGGATGGGGATGTAGAGGAGAACAGAAGGTTTTAGTGCAGAGATGCTTTCCTGGTGGCGGAATGAGTCAAGATAAAAACAGGTTCAAGCCTCAGTGTCACCAAATCCTCTGCTGAAGTGTCTTTGTTTGATGTTCAGGATGTTGTAACACATCTGTGGACATTTTAAGATTTTAGGAAAAGCAAAACTTGCAGGAAAATAAGAAATGAGGAAAAAGATACTGACTTGTCTCTGTGAAGCAATGGTATCATAGATATGCTGCTAGAAAACACTCCTAACTAGGATCGTCTTACATGTGTGGCTATAGTTTCTGTGGTGGATGCACTATGGCTGGTGTTAACGGATGCCTTTTACTGCTGATGTGTAATCAATTGGATGGCTTTTGCTGCATTGATACGATTTCTGTTTCTGGGCAGAAGGAAACCACCAAAGAAATCTTTGGAGAAACCGGACCTTTTGTCTTCAAAGTACACGCACACACTTAGCCTCCACACACACAGACCCACACAAACCCATCAACACACAAACATTCACACACCATCCGATGATTTAAGGAGCATATTGTTCTATTAATAAAGAGTCGGTTGGAGACACTTTAGGCCTAAGGCATCGAAACTACTCTAGGTCATCCTGTTATGTACATAATGTGTATTTGTGAGTGTGTGTGAGAGTGTCAGTGTGTGTTATATTAGAGTTGGCATCGGTTAAACGTCTCCAGAGATGAACAGAGCGTGTGTATCTGACACTGGCAGTTAATTCTGACAGTTGATATCCCACCGACTGTTAGGCATCTGTTTTTGTAGTTTTGTTTTTCTCAGCTGAGTTCAGCTTTCCTTTTCTTTTTTTGAGGATGGTTTAACAAATGCTCTCTTCTCCTCTCCTTTCTCCTCTCACCTCTTCTCTCAGCTGAATTGTATTCTTTTAGTCTCCTTTTCTTCTCCATTTAGCCCTTACTTCACTTTCTCCGCTGTTCTCCTCGACCGAACTCCTCCAGACCAATCATGTTGATGTAATTATCATATATAAATCATAATTTGTCCAGAGAATTTTCACCTAAGTATAAGTTAAACATCTGGTATTTTCACAGCTGACAATTTATGAAGTTATGTTGCTTACAAATTGAGTGGTTTAGGACATAACGGAAACCAGAAACGTGGGTGTGATGTGATAATAAAACATAAGACATACATATAAAACACATGCACACACGCACGCTAAAAGAAACTGGAAAACAACACATAATACGTTCAGCTGCAAGTAATTTATCAGTGTTGGATGTGGAAAGTACCAAATATCACTCCAGCTGCACACTTGGACATTACACACATGCACATACACACACACACACACACACACACACACACACACACACACATGCACCCCACATCTACATCTCTTCATCTAGTGCAGCTTCCCTCCCTCTTTCTTATTTTCTTATTCCCACCCTTCATCTGTCCCACACACACACACACACACACACACACACACACACAGTACACATGCCATAACTTTAGCATAGGAGGTTCAGTAATGGGGTGAAGACACATGTTCAGTGCAGAGAAAGAAACACACACAGTACTATAACCATCACTCTGACTGACAGAGCTTTCAGAGCCCGACTTGATTGACATACTGATCGCATAAAGACTCGAGAAGAACATAATTGCAACATTAAAGCGAACACGAAGCATTCTTTAAGACCCTTTAAATCATACCCGCAGTCTCATTATCATGCAGATGCTTTTGACACCATTACTTATTCCACCATGTCTATCCATCTCTCAACACTTGCATGTTGTTGGGCTGCTACTTTTGATCTCAATAGTAGAACAGCAGTGTCCTAGTTTGAAACTGTTTGAAAGGTCATTTCACCCAAACTATTTCCTCATTTACCTCACATGGTATTAGTTTACACCAAATATTTGACTTTTCAGTCCTCAAAATTATTTTCTTTGAGGCATATCTATGAAGGTAAATCACTGTCAATATCCACGAGCACAAATAATATCAACCCGCGAACGGGTGTAGAGGTCACGCGTATGCAAGTTACTTTTGAGAGTGCTTTCACATCACTCCACGCAGAATATCTCTGCTCGCGAGGATGTTTTAGCTCTTTACTTCACTACATCTCAGACTTAAACATTCTACATTTGTCTGACAGGTTTTGTTGATTTTCAGACAGTAGAGGCTGATGAAATGCAAAGCATATTAATAGCGTTTTGAAATACAATTATTCAATTGTGTTTCTTTTGTAAATAAACTGGAGTCAAGTTGCATAGATTGATTTAAATTCACTTCATCATTCTATTACATACAGTGTGGGTTTGATAGTCAAACCTCTTGTGATAAAACAGCTCAAGGAAACATTTTGATTTTAATTCATAAAAACCTAATCATAGTATCTTAATGTGTGTAAGTGTTTCCAGAAGTTAACAGAAAAAATTGTAGTTTTATACTCTGAACAAGAATTTGGACCTTGTCATGGTTCTGGAGCCAAGATTAGGATCCACTGTTTGTACATTAACTGTTTGCCAAGTGAGTTCCCAAACTTAAATCACGAACAAGTAATAAGTGGATGAAAAAGCATTCACATCCTTTACTGCAGTAAAAGTACTAAAACCATACTGATGAAACAATCCACTACGAGTAAAATACCTGCATTCAATAACCTTAGTACAGTATGTCAGTTGTCAGCAGAACGTCAAGTACCAAAAGTAAAAGTACCCGTGCAGTAAAATGGTTCTTGTCGGTGTTTTACTATTATATCTGATTTGTGTTTGTCTGATTTGTGATTTGTGTTTGTCAGTACAGTACAATATTTACCTCTGAGACATAGAGTAGTATTTAGTGGCGGATTGAAAACCACCTTTATCAGGCCACCTAGCGTCTGTGTCGGGAGTGATATCTGGCCAATCCAAAAGCGAGGATTGTAACCAATCTAATCTAGTGATACAATGGTGACCGGGTCCGTCTACTTGCTGTCAAAAAAAACAAAACACTCGTGAACGAGCAGGTGAAAGCTTTGCGAGCAGAGGAGCAGTGATAGAAGTCGTGCGACAGGGGGACACTTCTCACAGATTGTCACACCAGCAGCCTCCCAGAACAACCAGTCCTGTTGGAGAAAATCCAGTGAAATCCCCTCAGCTCTACAGTACATGGAACTTTATAGCATCTTTCAGCGCTTTGTTTTGGTTTCATGGCCCTCAACTTAACAATTTTGGTTCACCGAGTTGTTTCCGAACACAGCAGGCAGCTGTTTTCAGGAAAAGAAAAGTTGATAGATACACTACCAGTTCCAAACCACAGGCAGACTAAATGAGCAACTAGCTGCTGAACAAAATGAAGCATTTAGCAGGAGCATTTCTTTCAGGAGCTGAGCTGGTGGAGACCAAAGCCGAGTTAAAATAAAGTGAATATCGGACCAAAAGAATGCTGATGTTGCTCTGTATCTGCTAGATAGGCAACTGTTTGCTATCAAGTTTGCCATCTGTACTTAACAGGTGATAATAACTCACTGTTGTGTTCACAGCTTGTTTCCGCTGCCCTCCGTACTGGATGCTCTGTACCGTCTTACTCAAAGGTCCCATGAAATCACTTTTTGAGTGTAAAACAATGGACCACAGTTATTGAGTCATGAAAGAAAGGCGAGACGATTCAAATATTTGCGATGACTTTATTGGTTGGAGTTTTCAGTCACACCCACAAGTGCGGCATTAGGTGACCACTGAAGAAGCACAGTTCTCCAGAGTTTTCCCGGAAGTTGAGATCGTTATGCAACTTGTGTGGAATCTGCAGCATGTAGCTGGAGGAATTTACAATAAAACCACATTTTTTGACTCATTCCCACTTTCTTTTTCTCTTTGTCTTCTGCAGCATTGAATGAGCCAACCATTGACTACGGTTTCCAGAGGCTTCAGAAGGTCATCCCTCGGCATCCTGGGGATCCCGAGAGGCTGCCAAAGGTACCGAAAAATATTTACGCTCACCTCTTGCACATTTATCTGATGCCTTAACTGGACAATAGTAGAATGAGCAAAGCTCCATCTCTTGCTTAAGGGCGCTTAAAAAAACACAGACACTGTAGCTCGTACAGAGATCAAACCAGCAACTTCTCAGTTGACACTGAGTTGCTCTGCTATCAAAGACAAAGCACACAGAGATGCACACACATTAATTCAAAACACTAAGAACAAAATCATTTTGTGTTTATGTTTGATTTGTTTGTTTTGTGTGTGTGTTATTTTTATATTTCTAAGCAGAATATGTGTTTTCAAATCTCCTGTGGGTTGTCTTTTTACCTCTTCGTGAACTCTGCGTGTGTGTGAGCTGCTTAAACCCGTTTACAAGATGCGTTTGAATCTGCTCCAGATCAGAGAGTCATATTTGATTATTTGTTTATCAGCTGGAGATCAAGCAGAGTGTTTAAAAGATCAGCAGATGTAAACAATTATCACCAAAAGACGAGCGCGGCTTTGATACCAAATCCTGTCATCGTGATCTGTACATGCAGGGGGAGTTTTCAAAGTGCGTGCGTGCGTGTGTGTGTGAGAGCATAGTTTCAAATTAGAACTTACCTATCTGGGTGGGCAGGGTCATAACCTTTTAAACAGCTGCTGTTGATTGGCTCCCGCTCCCCTCTGGAGCTGGTCCAGGACTGGCTGTCTGTGCTGTGACATCATTGAAGAGTGGGCGCTGGTCATGATGTGATGATGTTGCTATGATGCGACGTCATCACCGTCGTGCCGACGCCCCGGCTCCTGCTCATGTGTTAGCAATGACATGTGCGCGATCACTGTGTGAACATGTTCAACACACCACACTTCAAATGTTGTGAAGACTGTGGATCCGTAGTCACGAGCATTTACTGCGTTCCCGTGTTTACAGTATACTGTACTTTACATTTTAGTCTTTTTCAGCCGCCTTGTTTTCTAAATTCTGGTATTAAAACCTACAGTCATGTTGGGAAACAGGCTAATTATAATGAGGGTCATTTGACTGAGATATAGCTAATAGTTATATTTGGTTTAAAAAGTGTATTGTTTAAAGGTTCAGTATAATGAAAAAGATGAAGTACTACAGATTGTTACTACGTTTATGGTTCGGGGCTATGGTAGGTTTAGGATCTGTTACAGATGATATGTTTAATTATGTCAACAGATGAGGTAAGACATTCATTTAATTAGTTAAATGGTTTAGTGTGGTCAAATTCAGCCCGGTATCCTAAGAATTATGCCCATATTGGCCAATTACACCGCTCAAGGTTTACGACCAGTATTCAGCGCCAATGCAGGAAGTAGTGTGCTTTAATGCTGCAACTATTGATTATTAAGACATCAGAAAATTGAAGAAGAAATGTCTTGTTTTTGTTGTACCAACCTATTCAATTTACTAAAAAGTTAAGACATGGAAAGGCAGCTAATTTTAATATTTTGGAAAATAGAACTTGAGTTGAAAGACTTGTTTTTGTGTGCCAAATGAAACACTGTGGGACAATTCATACAATCCCCGATCCCATCGGCTATCGGTCTGGTGACTGATAAGCCTCTGGGGGCCACGATCTATATTCCCGGGGTCGCCTGCAGATATCCGGGCCAAGACTTCCTCTTCTGTGCGCTGCTTGTTGTTTACAATTCGATTAGCAACTTGAGATGCAAGACCGGAGTATGAGTTGAGAGATGACGTTTACAACACTTCTGTCTACATTTGGTGGTATTTTCCAAACAAGCTGTCATTTTATCGTCAAAAACACAGATACAAGATTCAGTAAACTACGTCGTGTTCAAACACATTTGAATGCAGAATATGTTTGTCAAGATTACAATTCATACAGAGTGACTGTTGAAGGGCATCTGACAGGTTGAAAATGTGATGTTTAAACTTTAACATAAATTGTGCAAAATGCTGTATGAGTCAGGGATGAAGTCAACCCATCAGAGGAAAGGTATATTTTAAAAGCTTTTACCTATGACCAGGCCTGTTATATTTAGAGCCAATAACAATGAGTGCTGCAGAAAAATCATTTAGAAAATGATGTTAGCAGCAAGTGTGATACCATAAGTCACGTTAACTCCACCTTCTAGTAAAGTCTGAGTCAGAGCAGAAGAAGGATTGACTCATGTTTTCATGCATAAACACACACACTCTGTTTGTGAGAGCTTTACCTCCTCCCCACTGTTGTTGTTAGATGTATTTATACAATGGATAATTTGATCAAAGCAATCTAATTGGTCAGAACTGCATTTTGTTCATTCAATGAAGCATGCTGGGAGTGTAGACAAATACGTGGTTGCTGTACTAGTTAGCTATTTTTTTTGGTTGTTGTTATTGTCATCATTATTATTATGATTATGATGATTCATATTATTATTATTACTGTTATTATGTTTTGGGACTCCACTCCACTACATAGTTCATAATTAAGCCAAAATACCCAATATGACATTTTTTCCAGATGATTTGCACAGAAGAGTTCACTTTTACTGTAACATTTTATTAGTGGCAAAAATAATGGGTAAAAAATATTGTTTCATCTCAGTTTAAGCAAACACATTTTCTTTTGTGGCTGTGCTTGTCAGAATAAATAAAACAAATTAGCATATTACTTGTACTAAATGGGTCCATAAATACCTTAAAAACCTAAAATGTACATCACCTCGGACCCCAGTTCACCATTAAGCACTCTAACATAGTTTAAACAATAATGGCACTGTGCTTTTATACACCTATTTTGTATTTTTCTTATTCCATTGGATAACTGCTGGATAACGTCCTGTCCGTGGAGAAAAGCCTTCAGTGCCGTTCTTTGAAGAAATGCTCTCCGGTTGAGATATAAGTGATGCTACTGCAGCATCCACCCTAACCTCTTTAGAAGCCACCATTGTTGTTTAGAGCGAACAGTCGCCTCTCTGTGTCGTCTCACACACACCTAAGCCACGTTGTTGCCAGTAGCTCGTTGTTGGTCCGTGCTCTGGCTTACCGGAAACGAATGAATTAGTTGAAGCCTGACAAGATAACGGTAAAATGAGTAGCTGGATCAGTGCCAAATGTAGAGTTACTTCCAGAGCTTTTCCATCATGACAAGATTAGGAGCATGTTCTTAGGGAGCACGAGAACTGAAAAGTCAGAATTCAGATTTTAATTCAGATTTCAGACACTTTCAGACATGTGACTGTTTCACCTTCCTTTTGCTGCTAAACTGAGTGGTGCTGTCCATGCTCTCTGTTTAGAACAATGTTCCTCTTACATGTTTGTTTTGTGTGTGTGTGTGTGTGTATGTGTGCGTGCATTACGGGGTGATTCATCATGGTGCAGACTAGTCGTCGATCGAACCCTGAGACTTTATTACTGCAGCCCACCAGCAGTCTGTGTGTGTGTGTGTGTGTGTGTGTGTGTGAGAGAGAGAGACAGTATATGTATTTGACTCATGGTTGGTAATGGTGGATGCTGGATGCATGTAGGAGCAATGTGAAAATATTATTTTGTGTTTGTCTTGTGTGAGGAGGTTATAGTCTATGTGTGTGAGTAGGTATGTGTGTGTGTGTGTGTGTGTGTGTGTGTGTGTGTGTGTGTGTGTGT